GGTTGTCAATGTTTCCAAATTTAAACCTGTCAATCATTTTGTATATCCGAACTATACAAAATCATTATTATTATTTCAAGAATATAATTTCATGTTAAAATAAATTTAATAATCATAAATAAATATAACTGAAAACATAAGAGATTAAAGTAAACAAAAAAGACATGGATAAATATAAACATAAGTGTATTAAATTAATATAATTAAAAACCTAAAAATTGTTTAAGACTTTAACTACGACAATTGTTATTTGATGGATTTCTAGCATAATAGGATTTAGAATCAAGTTAAAAGCTATAGACGAGCATTGTGCGAAACAATATTGTCATCATCGTTCCTATTTTGCGTGGCTTTGATGGTCCCGCGTCCTCCGCGTTCAATGACGCTCATCGACCGGATGACTGTTGCTCGCGTACTTCAATGGCCGGCCAGGAAATGGCGATGTGTGTAGCAACGCGTACTCGACGAGCGCGCCGAAATATCCGCTTTTGCCCCAGCGTAACACGCGCATACAAGATGCACGTGTTGCATGAAATGGGTGCAACGTTTGCCATCAAGCTCTCGTCGCTCGATGCTCGTTGTACATAGTTGTCGATTGGTTAGCGTTGCCATTTTAACGTAGCAAACCTCTATCAGAGTGAGCATTAATTATATCCCGTGAAATCTTTTACTATTATTCAATAATTAATGATTCGGCGACAGAATGAATAAAGCGCTTAATCTGATATTTAATGCCGGATACTCGCTCGTGTCTGACTAATCCCGCCATTTCATCGTCACCACCGGTTAAATATATCCATGAATCAATCAAGCGCGTGTATGTGTGTGTATGTACATTTATATATATATCTACAAGTGATAAAAAAATTTGCGATTCAATCCAGCAATTTCAGTCCTTGCGGAATTTTTTCATGGAACATATATATTTGAAATTTATAGAATATACGCGATAAATCCGGGCTATAATCTCGATATCGGTGCGCACGTGCGCGGCCGTTTAGGTTGTGGCTGGAGCGTATCTCTAATAAAAATCGCGCTCTTCCCTGTCTCGGTCTCAGGCAATGTCGTATTTATTTATCCGGTCGTGCGCGGATGATAACGACGCGAGCTTTTCGTTCATTGTTAGCGATGCTGGGACGACGCTATGAAAACTACGTTATTTGTATGCCGCGAGCGCAGTCGCCTTAACTGCGACAATACTTTTCCGCCGTCAGAGAAAGCCCCGGCCAACCCTCCCCCGAGCCCCAAGGGCAGGCAGCGGGACGGAAGAAATATGGGAAATGGCCGGGAATCAAGGAAAGGTCATGACTCCCTAGCCTCCGAATTAGAAGAATTAAGTAAAGAGCCAAACTCCCTTATAAAGGGATCTCGCGCTGTCGGACGGAATACGAAAAAGCGAGCGACGCATTGGGATGCGATTAGAGCTGCATATCGATGACGCGGATTCGTACAATTTTATTTTACGTATCGATAAGTTTTATTTATGGTATACGCCGCGGGTATCAATATAACTGATACAGCATCACATTAATTTTCGCAAAAATTACACTTTATTAGAGTGTCTATCCAGAGCTTGTAAAAAAATTCCCTGAGAATTTCCTGATTTTTCAGATAATTTCATCAAAATTCCAGATAAAATTAGAGAATTTTTAGATCGAATTTTTTAAAATAAGTTTTTTTGTGTGCGTATTTTAATGCTTTTCATACAAAGAAAAATAAACCACTTAAATTTTAAATATTAAATTTGAAAATGTACTGAAAAGAACTGAATGGCTTTTGTAAGATAAGCATTTTTCATTTGCATAATATTTTCATTTTCTATCATTAATTGTAAGAATTACAATAAAAAATATGTACTTAGTATTGTGTATTCAATATTTTTGGCTATGACAATGAATATATAATCAAAGAGAGAGAGATATATGTATATTTATAATATATTTGAAACATATAATTTACAATCATTGACCAATCAGATTGCCGATGCTTGCAATAGGGGAAAGTTGATAGAGTAAAACCGGTTAGGCGGATCAAACCGGGTACCTCTGTTTCTTCGTGATAAGTGCTACTATCTTTGGCTAACTCGTGTTATGAGTTCTAGATTGATGCCAATATTATTTTGAGATGAATCGTGCCCACGTGCACACGATATTTCTTTTTTGAAAGAAGTTCAAAATTTTCGGGCCAAAAAAGATCAATATCGGGGCAACAATCGAGTTATTATGGATTTTTTCTACACAGAGTATCTACTTCGGTAAATGCAGCAATGCATTCTGTACATATTAGAGAGTATATCGCACTAGTTTTAATCGTCACTTTGTACGCCGGAATATACAGCCGCCGTGATTGTTATTTTCCTTGTGTTGGGGCAAAACCGGGTACCTACACACCTCATGTAATGAAAAGAGGAAAAACTGTTATCCTGACTTTGTCTCCCTACAAAAAGCAATTGGAAACAAAAACTACCACTCAGAAAAAGAAGCAACTAAAAAAAAGCTTTTTGAGATCCCTAAAGTTAAAAAATTAAATAAGAAGATCCTGCAGCAATATGGAACAAGAGGATATCTTTATTTATGATTTTTATCAATAGAATACATCTTTGTATTGTATTTTGATTAAAATAAATCTAGATTTTATAATTGCACGGTGTTTTACATGTTTTCAAATGGTTACCCGGTTTTACCCAACCGGTAGGACAAAACCGGGTATTTTGACTTCTCCACAAAATCTTGTTATTCTTGGTAATCAAATTTTTTTTTTTTCAGCGACTAACCTCATTTTCTTATAGTTTAAGGTTCATTAAAGACTACTAACGGTCAGCAAACTTTTTTTACTCTCTGATTTTTTTTGTAGGAAGACAAATCTAAAGAAGTACCTGGTTTTACCCTAATTTTCCCTATAAGAACAAAATGATCAAAGAGAGAATTTTTTCAAAAATTCTCCGAGTGCGTATAAAATTCCATGAGATTTCCCTGATTTTTCAAGATAGAAACAAAATTCCTAAGAATTTCAAGTTTTCTAGATTTTTCCAGGGAGTAGACACTCTGTTTATATTATAGAGAAAATCCGTATAAAATAATTTGTATTCGTAATATTATCGAGTATAATTTTCTGACAAAGATAGATTTCTTTCCTTTATAAATTAGAAGAATAGCGTATTTCAAATAATAAACCTCACTTTGATATCTAAAACATTGATGTAACACATTCATTATTTATGTACTGGTATAAGTTTTTTTATCTATAAACATATGGAAAATAAAAGTAAAAATAAAAGCTTTTAGGACCATTCTTCCTTCCTAGAGTGCGGTTTAGTTGGGTCACGTGATATGGGATAGATAACGGAATGAGATGCGAAAAGTGGTAAATCGTGTTTTCAGAGTTGATCTTTGAATAATTCTTTGCAAATAATAAACCAAAACATTTCAGAAAATTATAAATAACTGTTTTTACAACAAATAGTAAGTTTATATCCAAAAGCAATGTATTATTTATTATTAAATTAATTATCAAATTAGTTAAAATCTAAAAACGTACATCTCATTTATATTCATTCGATCGAATATCTATTTTAATAACTTATCATCAATGATTGTTTTATCGAAAACCGTCAAGATTGTGTGAGTAATTTTCATCGTATCGTATCGTATGTACATATGCAAAACACATGCGTACGTGACACGCGATGTATGATATTATATACCGTGTACGGCGGAGATTCTCAACGTTACGCGATACCTTCGCAGTGATGAGCGATGAATTTGCGCAGTCTCCTCCAAGAAAGAGATAGAGAGAGAGAGAAGAGACAGAACGCTTAGATTTACTTATCTCTTCCTTCGCGATGTACATGAATATTTCACGGTTGATACCCGTATGAATGCGTAACGCACATGCGCGAGCACAATATACTTACATAGTCACGGAGCACGCAACACACGCACACATGTACTTCTACGCATAGTTATACGTATACTTACCGTGGAAAGATAATCGGCGAGGTAGGGTACATGCGCTGATTAGTGAATATCTTGGGTATCTTCCTCTTCCTCGTTCTCGCGTCGCCGTGAAAGCCGGGCTCTCATTACGCTAACAAAATTCTCACATTTTCCGCTAAATGTTCCCTTCGTGTTAATGAACGACTTATCTTCATATTTGCTGTCACCATGTGCACAAAGCCCTGGGAGCTCGTTTAGAGAAGTTGGGTTAGCCCGCTAACTGTAGCGGCCGCGGAATTAATTGAGAGACCTCTCCTCTCCCTGGCTTATATCTCGTTATACGAGTAAATTCTGAATTCTGGTAACTGCTCATCGGAGTCTGAAAACGAGCCGCAACAGAGTCTGCGCATTCAGCAATAGCCATGAGAAAATAATATCTGGGAGCGTAATTGCTTTTTAAAAGCTCGCGCGCGTCCGCTTTCGCGGATTTTGCCCGCGTAATTGTTAATGACTTTTTTAATGGCGGAAAACGCCGTTTTCAAATTGACCTGTAAAATTTCCTCGTCGTTTATGGCAATAATCTTTTAACTCGATCGCAATATAGAAAATATCTATCATCCTGAAAAAAGGAATCGGTTAATCCAGACTTAACGAGATAATCTTGATACGTAGAATAATTTTATGCAATATATATATATATATATATCATTAATGAAAAATTGATATAAAAAACAATTTTTTTTTTCAGTCAGAAGAGATATTTATCGCGTTTAATAATTTTTTACGATACGTTTATTAATTAAAAATTAGAGTTGATCAGTTCGTATATTAATTGTGATAAAATCAGCCATGTTACACTTGTGTTTATAGCGAATTAAAAACATTGCGTTTTCACGTTACATCCCGAGAAGAAATGCGATCAAACAAAATTTATAACATTGTACTCGTAGCACGTAACAGCAAATAGAGTCTCGAGACAAAGTGAGAAAAGGAGCAGAGAGAGAGAGAGAGAGAGAGAGAGAGAGAGAGAGAGAGCAGAGGATAATTAATAGAGTACACACGCCGCTGTTACAAATCCATGAGTCCTTTATTAAGAAATACTGCATCGTTCCGACAATATCGCGAAATGGTAGTACGAATATAATCTTCAAGCTATGAGAGCTTCGACGCAGCCTCCTTCTCGAGCTGTCGACTTTGCTCGGAGCGCGTTTTCCAGGGCGGCGTTCCGGAGTTTTGACATTGGATTAGCCGAAGCAGAGCGTAAAAGTCCCTCTCCCCCCGCGGGTGTGTAAAACTTTAATTACATTTAAATATAAGTATGCCACGCACGGGAACCACCTATCCGGGAGAATGCGATGTGACTTCCTTAAAGGAGACTTCTCGCTACCCTTCTACCTACCTATCCGCCTTTTATCCAACCCCGCGCTTTGCCGAGGGTAGTCGTCGCACCGTCGGATTGCTCGCGACCGCGAAGCAACTCGAATAGAAACGCTACGTCGATCGGCGATTTATGCCCGAGAGCTCGCGAAACTTGCGGATGAAGACGAAACGGAACGCGCGTTTCATCTCTTTTCTGCCTCCTTCGTTTTTCTTCTCGCGACGCGGCAACCGCTCGGAGTTATAAATATCTAAATTCGAAATTGTTTAATAGAGAAGACTGCGTGTTTCTCGGATAGATTATAGTGACGTATTGCTAATAATTTCAAGTTTATCTCCTTATGAAGATGAAATAGATATCTATACAAGGTATAGATAAGAACGGAATATATTTAATAATTTGTAAATTCATCAATATCAGAGAATGTAATCTCAAGTTTTGTACACCATATGTGTAGAAATTTATTATATGTTCTGAGATGAACACCCAAAGCAATGTTAAAGAAAATATATTTAATATAAAATATATTTATAACCTTCTATATTATAAAAATAATTTAAAAAAAAGAGCAAAATGGAAAGAAAGTTTTCAACAAACGATCTGTTCATTAAAGACTTAAAAATATTTTCTAAAATGTCTTTAATTTGCAATCAGTAGTGATCTTAAAAAAAAAATTACGAATTATTAGCGACACGCCAATACTTTTGTCCGAATAAATTCAATTTTCCCATAACATTCGGATATTTCGGATAAATATAAATACTAGATAAGATTGAAGTGCTCGGATATATTCAAATTGTTCAAGAGAGGGAGAGGAGGGGAGTGGAAAAGGGGAGGAAGATTATGAAATTTTATACGATTTATTCGAACAATAAGAGCTCGTCGGATTTTGCAATAGTTAACTTTAACAAGATTGAAAAATTTATACAAAATAGGTAAAAAGTAAAATAGATGTTTAATTAAAACAAAAAAAAAGATCCTCGATTAAAAATTTGAAACCAATATTTATTTAGAAAATATTTTGAGAGTGAAAGAAAGAGAGACACATTTTCTTTATTTATTTTTATATAATTCAAAAACTATCATTTTATACATACCCGAGTATATTATAATTATAGAAACATCGGCTGGAAATTCCTCAAAATACCAACATATTCTGTTATTAAAAACATTTAATATGGAACTTTAATTAGAAAATGCTATTCTCGATGCATTTAGTATAATGAAAGCGTTCTTGCTTACGTTTCTCGCGTATTCCAATTTTTTATGCGTATTATACTAATATACGAATTATCCAAATTATCCGAATTATGTCCAAATAACTTGAAATTATATGTATACTTTGAATAATCGTATTACGCGAATTACACAGACATTTCGATCTCCGAATCGATTTACGTCGACGTGCGTCTGAACATTCGGGATATATCCGAGTACTTTTATATCCGGAATCCTCTCGGATTTTACAGCCTCACTTGAAAACGGCTCGTCGCGTACAGCCGACAAACGTATGCAACACCAAAACACGACGGAACGAAAGCGCGCCTGAACAATCTCGATGGCGCGACAAGGAGAAGACGGAGACACGACAGAGATATAGACAAAGTAGATGACACATCGGGCGACGTTGGCGCCGGGTATCGCTAGAGACGCGTTCGCCGCGTTAACTCGGATGGCCGAGGCCACCTCCTAGACCGATCCGATCCGATCGGCCCGATCGATGGTGTATCCCGACCGGATTCTGCCGGGGAGAGTAGACGCGGAGACCGTCGTGGGAGAGCCGACGCACGGGGCGTAGCCCCCGGGATTCTCCCGTCCCGCTCATCCTACCGGTCGTTCAGGATCTCGGCGCAGATCAGCATTGACAGCAGATGCAACGCGAAGTAGGGATGCACGGTGGAGTGTGCCGTGGACGCCAGTGCGTAAGCGTAGGACGAATAGCATTCCCTGCGAGCGTAATACATACACATGCATATACAGGATATTATGTAATGAAACTTTAACAGGGTGTCGGGATTATTTTAGTCAGGGTGTCTACTCAAATCCTGTAAAAAATTTCTCTGGAAATCCCCTAATTTTCCAGATATTTTTGTTCAAAATTCCAGGTAAAGAGAATATTTTAAACATTTTTTCGTGCAATTTTCTAAAATAAGTTCTTTTATTGTACGCGTTTTTTAATGCTTTTCATTCATACAAAGGAAAAACACAAAGCCACTTAAGTTTCAAATGTTAGATTTACAAATGTACTAAAAAAAAAAAAAAAAATTAAAAAGTTTTCGTTAAAATAAAAT